AGTGCCATGGCTTCACTGCTCACAGCAACCTCCAACTCCTGGGCTCAAGCGAGTCTCCTGCCTCAGCCTCCCAAGTAGCTGGGACCACAGGCATCCGCCACAATGTCCAGCTATTTTTTGGTTGCAGCCATTATTGTTTGGCGGGTCTGGGCTGGATTTGAACCCACCACCTTAGGTGTATGTGGCTGGCGCCTTAGCTGCTTGAGCCACAGGTGCCGAGCCTGGTAAACTACTTTTTACCCACTCTGTTGTAGTATAAGTTTTTCTAGTAGTCTAAAACATTATAAAGAGCAAGAATGAGTTTTTTGTCTTAAATTTCTCATAGTATATCATAGTGGTAAGTGCTTAATGTCTCTTGAATTTTTAACTGTATGCTTCTAATTCACCTCTTCTAGTCAGCTATCTTGCTATGTTCGTACTCTTTTCCAACCACACTAAACTGCTCTTATATTTCAACAATTAAGCATGGCTTCTGTTAATTCTAGACCATTGCACAAGTGGTTCCCTTTGCAAAATATTCTCCATGGCATTTCACCTCTCTCCACTTGGCTAGTCTTCCTTTCATCTTTAAGACTCTTCAAATGACACCTTTCTAAAACATTTGCAACATAATGAAAGTATAATCAATAGTTGTTAAAGTAATAAAGCAGGGAAGTTAAATTTTCCTTTAACCTTTCCTTCACTCTCTTCTGGACAAATTGTTAATTATCCTTTTCACTCTTTCTAATCAACTTATCAGTAACTCTTACTACCAGAGGTCACATTACATTTGATACCCTAAAAGTAATTGAAATAATAGCAGCCATTATATAATGTGGGCGATTATCTACCAGATATTGAAAGGCTATCTTGGCAGTCTTGAAAGTCAACTGCAATATGTTTTCTTGGGCCTTCATGACTTGGATGAAAGTACAGTGCAAGGCTAGTAACACAAACAACATGCTTTTCTTGCAATCACCAGGTGCCAATGAACTGGCTGTGCAGAAAGCAAAGGCAGAAATCACCAGGCTCATAAAAGAAGAACTGATCCGGTTGGTAAGTGAAAACCTCAAGGGCTTATTTGTTTTGTCTTAATAAGTGTTTTATTGAACTGTAACATAAATGTAGATAAGTACATAAATCATCCACACATAGCTTGGTGAATTCTCACAAATTTAGCACACTGATACAATCACTAGACAAGAAATAAAGAACATGGCTCGGCGCCTATAGCTCAACCGGCTAAGGCGCCAGCCACGTACACCTAAGGTGGCGGGTTCGAATCCCCAGCCCGGACCCGCCAAACAACAATGACGGCTGCAACCAAAAAATAGCCGGGCGTTGTGGCGGGCGCCTGTGGTCCCAGCTACTTGGGAGGCGGAGGCAGGAGACTCGCTTGAACCCAGGAGTTGGAGGTTGCTGTGAGCTGTAATGCCACAGCACTCTGTCCAGGGGGATAGCTTGAGGCTCTGTCTCAAAAAAAAAAAAAAAAAAGAAATAAAGAACATTATTAACATCCCAGAAGCCATCTCCATGGATCCCCATGGCCCTCCTTGTCATCATTCATGTCCTCTAAATGTAACCATATGTGATTTTTGAAATCATAGATTAGTTTTGCCTACTTTTGAAATCTTTGTAAGTGGAATCCTTCACTCAAAATTATTTTGAGATCAATTCATGTCGCATGTAGTAATAACTCATTTTTTGTGGCCATATACAGGTGGACATAAAGTTTATGTGCAATTTACTATGTTAAACTATTTTAAATTGTCACACAAACTTTATGTCCACCCTATTGTGTTTAGTTATATGGATATATAACAATTAATTGATATATTGGACTTTGGGGTTATTCTAGTTTTTTGTTTTTATGAAAAATGCTCCCATCTCTTTGGCACACATTGGTATGCTTTTTTCTTAGGTATATACTTTGGAGTAGAATTGCTAATTATAGGGTAGTTGTTGCTAAATAGTTTTCCAAAGGGGTTGTATCAGTTTACGCTCCTGTCAGTGTATGAAAATTTCAGTTGTTCTACGTCTTTAATAACCAATGGTGTTGGGGCCGGGCACAGTAGCTCACGCCTATAATCCTAGCACTCTGGGAGGCTGTGGCAGGTGGATTGCCTGAGCTTACTAGTTTGAGACCATCGTGAGCAAAAGTGAAACCCTGTCTTTACTAAGTAAAGTTGAAAAACTGAGGCAAGAGGATCACTTCAGCCCAAGTTGGAGATTGCTGTGAGCTGTGACACTACGGCACTCTACCCAGGGTGACAGCTTGAGACTCTGTCTTTTAAAAAAAAAAAAAAAAAGTATTGTTGGTACCCCTTAAACTTAGTGACTTCTTAATTTGAATTTGGAAAAAGCCCTTAACAGACTTCCTTTCCTAAGGGCACAGACACCATACCTGTGTTGTAGTGCCTATTAAGCTTGTAAACACTCCTAGGGTTTATACATACGTCACTACAAAAGTTTTGAGATTATTATGGTTCGTTTTTTCACTTCCAAGAAACACAGTTAACAGTGTCCTTTTTGATTCACCCGTGCAAGTTTCATTCCGCCTGCCCTCACTTGCATGGTGGTGTAAGCAAGTTTCATCTTGCTTGGCTGGCTGGGAGACCTTTACTTATTTCCATCTGCATGGAATTTACATTTCTTGACTTTTGTATGTCTTGAAACTTTTAATGACCCATGTATAAAAACCATATCTTTTCTCTAAGAATGTGATTTTTGAGGACTTTTCTAAAACGCCTCTTAACGAACATTCTTTTGGGGTATGAGAAGTTTAAAAAGGATACACGGAACAAGAGAGAAGAAGTAAAATAGCCTAAATTAAGTGTGGAAGACTCTTTGACCAAGGAATGATAGAAAAAACAACAAAAACTTGTGCTTGTTGATGCTACTGCCATAAGGAACAGTTGAGTGAACAAAGAGAAATTATGGATTATTAAACAGTTATTTCTTCCTTAATGCAATAACACTTTTAATTTTAAATATCTGGTATCATAAAGGAAATGATCTTAAACATGTACCTTTTTTTGCTTTTTCTGATGATGTATCTTTTATTTTCTCTCATAGCAAAATTCATACCAACCAACAAATAAAGGAAGATACAAAGTCTTATAAATATCTGGAAAAAACTTTTCACCTGTGCTGGTCTGTGATACATGTGGCGTTTGTGTGCAATTTACAATGCATTGTAAATTAAGATTTTTAAAATTCCACCTTGCTGATTTTTTAAATATAAAAAGCAAATATTTGCTAAAGAAGTCTTCTGTCAGTAAGTACCCCTACAATTAATCAAATTATATTTGAAGCAGGCCTGTTTTCAGAGTATGATGTCCTTTAATGTACAACTTAAATATCAGTATTTTAAATATCTGGATAATCTAGAGGTTTAAAATGGAAATATTTGGACTTTGTATTAAAGGTAATAAAGTACACAAGTTGCTAAGGGGTTCTTTATCCTATACTTTCAATGAAACTGTGATCATTTCCTGGAAAAGATAAAATTCTCATATTTTATATCCTCCCCCCCTTGAGTTTAACAGTTACTTCATTCATTAGAACAATATGAACTGGATTTAATTTAAAAATATTATAAAAGGCCAGGCATGGTTGCTCACACCTGTTGTCCCAGCGCTGTGGGAGGCTGAGGCGGGTGGATCGCCTGAGCTCAGCTGAGTTTGAGACCAGCATAAGACCAGGATGAGCTGAAGTGAGCTAGAGTGAGACCCTTTCTCTACCAAAAAAAAAAAACAAAACAAAACCAGTTGTTGTGGCCGGCACCTGTAATCCTAGCTACTTGGGAGGCAAAGAGCAAGAGAATTGCTGAAGGAAGAAAGAAAAAAGGGGGAAAAAAAAAAACTTCAAACTAAGATGAGTGAAAGCCAGTTGAAATTGAAAGCAAAAATAAAAATTAAAAATATAACAGAAGTTTTACAAAACAGGTTCAGAGTTTTTGTTTCAATTTTTATTATAAATGGGCAAAAGGTAGTTGGACTACTTTTGGTTTTTGTAAAATTAAAGATTTATAGTGTATGGATTTTTTTGTATTTCTTTACCTTGACTATAAAATTCTACAAATAATTTTAGAGTTCATTACTGTTAAGGACTCCTCTTCTGGCTCCATGCCTGGTTGCTGACTCTTTTAATCTTCTGTAAAAGAAAGTGGTGATAGCCTTTGAATATTAATTGTGATTCCTTTTTCCTCCTGAAAGTGTTTATATGTCTATATATGTAGTATCTACAAATACCCTACTATTGTTCATATGATTTTTCTTAAGGATTATTAAATTTTGCGTTTTCCTTTGTAAAAAATGTAAAATATGTCCAGGCACAGTGACTCATGTCTCTAATCTTAGTACTCTAGGAGCCCAATACAGGTGGATTGCTTGAACTCAGGAGTTTGAGACCAGCCTGAGTAAGAGCAAGATCCTGTCTCTAAAAATAGCTGGGTGGCAGGTGCCTTCAGTCCCAGATGCTCAGGAGCCTGAGGCAAGAGGAACGCTTGAACCAAGAGTTTGAGGTAGTTACCAGCTGTGATGCCCCGGCACTCCATAGAGGATGGCAAAGTAAGACTGCCTCAAAAAGACATAATTGTACCTAAATTTTAGGCTTAGACGCTAGCATCTCTCAGTGAAGTTTAGTTCACAAGGAATCATAAATTAAATTTTTGGATGCTCAATTTATAGTTCCTTAATATTCTAATTTAAATTGTTATAGTTGCGTTACCTAATATTCTCTTCAAGGTTCCTTGTGCATTTGAGCTTCATATTATCATTTTAAGAATTTTTTCAGGATTAAATAAGTACAGTTGCCCCTTTATATCTATCTACAGGTTCCACATTCCCAGATTCAGCCAATCACAGATAAAAAATATTCAGAAAATTAGTCTGGATGAGGTATTTCATGCCTGCAACCCTAGTACTCTGGTAGGAAAAAGTGGGAGGATGGTTTTAGCTCAGGAGTTAGAAACCAGCCTGAACAAGAACAAACCCTCATCCTTACTAAAAATGGAAAAACTAGCCAAGGCAATGTGGTGGATGCCTGTAGTCCCAGCTACTTAGGAATCTGAGGCAGGAGGATCACTTGAGCCCAGGAGTTTGAAGTTGCAGTGAGCTCTGATGATGCCACTGCACTCTACCCTAGATGACAGAGCAAGACTCTTGTCTCCAAAAAAAATAATAATAAATAAAAATATATATAATATTTTAAAAATACAATATAATAGCTATTTACATAGCATTTATATTAAGTATTATAAGTAATATGGAGATGATTTAATTTATACAAGAGGATTTGCATAGGTTAAATGCAAATACTAAATCATTTTATATTATAAGGGAATGTGAACATCTGCAGATTTTGGTGTCCATGGTTGAGGCAGGGCATGCTGGGAGTTGTCTAGAACCAGTCTTCCCTTAGATACCAAAGATTAACTGTATTTCATATTTATTAAATTAAGAGATGTAAAAGTTCTTTAAATATTCTTGACTTA